TGAGCAGATCGAGCTTCATGTAGGTGAGTTTGTCCTGACGGTGACTTCATCTCAGGGTTTGTGAACCTGCTCAAACCCCGACCACCTGACAGTTAGGGACGCAGTGATTCCCAACCACACAGGGAAGATTATCCAATATTGCTTAATTGGGCTGAACTGTTATTGCAGAACAATTAAATCATCCTTCGCTAGATGGCTATGGACAATTTAAAAAAAAAAGATAATCAGAGCTGTTTGTGAGTGTCTTTCTTCAATTATATCAGTGTTGTTTTTATCTAAACAGGATGAGATTTTAGTCAATTATGAAGTCATTTAAACTAAAAGATTACTTTTTGTGAGATTTTTGTTTGGTGGTGTGCTGTGATTCAAAGATTAGATCTAAGGCTCTTCTAGATGACAGTCATGTCTTCTGACCTTCAGGTCAGCCCAAGATACTGAGTCTGACTGTGGAGGAGACCGGCACCAGCCAGAACGCCTCCAGGTGGCTGAAGTGTGAAGCGGAGGGAAACTCACGGCCCAAAATTGTGTGGCTGACGGCCTCAAGGATGAAATCAGAAAAAAAGGCGACCGAGTCCTCACCTGATCAGTACCGAGTCATCAGCTCGGTGCCGTATCCTGAGGATGGAGAGGAGCTAACCTGCAGGGCGGAGAACGAGCTGGGCCACGTGGAGAGAACCCACCTGACCAACCACACACCGCTAATACCGTTAGCTGTGTGTGGTGCCTGCCTTCTACTGCTGCTGCTGCTCTCTGCAGGGGTGACAGTGTACTGCAGAAGAAAGAAAGGTGAGGTCAAGCAGCACCGCCTCCATCATTAACTACAAATACGTCATTTTTGTGACATCACTGCACTGAGATTAAGATAAACCATTCAAATGCTACCGACTTTTTAAAATTTTTTGTAAATGCGAAATGAAAGGGTATTTTGACCTTTTGGCTTTCTAATATTCTATCTTTTAAAAGTAACGTCTTTTTTTTTCTTGCAAAGCCTCAGAAGTGACAGCAGTCGAGGCTGCTATTTATGAGAAGGCTGGTAAGTTTCACTTCTGCATCTTTGATGGTCCGCCTATCGATCATATACAGTATTTGTGAAATGGTTGTGTTAGCAGCAGATATGCCGTTAACAGGCGCCAAGCATGTGGTTCCTCTGGGCATGTTGTTTGTTTCTGTTTTTTTCACCTTTTTCTTTTATATTTATTTGTTTTTTGGGGGGGGGGTGCAGGAGGTGAAGGGGTTCAGGGCCGTCAGCTGCCAACATCCAGCAGCAGAAACAGTGAGTCATTGATTTATACTGCCATCACTGCGCCTGGCTCCGCCTCCTGTAAGTCCTTGTTTACTTTCAACCACAGTCCACAAACTGCTGAAAACAAAGCATTTATGGCTAAGTGTTAGCCAAGAGTAGCCATGATGGCTCAACGCTAGCTAATATGGCTAAGATTTAGTGACTAGTTCACATTTGGTCAGGGTTTTGAATCAACTTCAAAATGTAATTTAGTTTTTGTTTTAATATTCTTCCCTCTAGCGCCATCTGTAAATTTCCAGAAGCATCATGAAGCAGGTGAGGCATGCTTTAGCTGTTAGCTGTCTGTTAGCTGTCTGTTAGCTGTCTGTTAGCTGTCTGTTAGCCGTCTGTTAGCTTTCTTTTCTTTTTCAAACAAACCCAAAAACATTTTGTCACTGAGAGTGACGGTGGTGATGGAACTGTTTCCAGGTATTGTTTACTCAGGTGTCAACCTGAATCCGCAAGGACACGCCCACTGAGGACATGCCCGCAGAGGACACACCCACCGAGGACACGTGGGTCATGTGATGATGTTTGTTTTTAACTGTGAATAAAGACATTGTCGGTGAAACCACAGCAGGTTCTGGTTCAAGTCTCATTTGAACTAAGTTTCTCCTCAGAGTGACATTTTGTTTAATAAATGTTGTCAATAGGTTTTAGTGATTTTAATTAGTAATTACACTCTAAAAAATATTTTCTCCCTGAACAAAAACACACTTTTAACCATTTGGATAGTTTTGTAGGTAAAACAAAACAGAAATGTTTCTGGTGCGCACCAGGAAGTATCTTGTGCTCACTAGAAAAGTTCCTTTTTTTTTTCATGTCCCTTTAGGGACTTCGAAGTACAATAACATTTAAAGTCACTTTTATTAAACATTGATACATTTTTTCCAACAGTCACAAGTTTTGGTTAAAAACTAAAACTTTTAAAAGTTTTTTTTAAGTCAATTTTTTTATGAATCAACATTTTGGCAAACTTTTTTGTTTCTTTATTTAAATCAACAAATGAAAAAATAATAAAAGAATATATTATATATAATATATATATTTAAATAACTGGTACTTCAACAACAGTGGTAACAGGGTTTTTTCAACATTTTATTTAGTTTCTGGACATTTGCTTCATTTTCTGCCATATGTTTGACATTTGACTCTCCTTCTGTTTTGTCTGTAGCATAAAAAGCCTTCACACTGACATTTGTTGAAAAAGAAATATTTACAATAAAAATGCACACAAAAAAACCACAAAACAAAAATAAACCTGCAGATGAAACAGGAAGAAAATCTTCTTCTTCTTTACATAAAAAATATTTTTTCCCTGCAGATGAAACAGGAAGAAAATCTTCATTTACATAAAAAATATTTTTTCTAGATGAATCACACAGAGTGAAGATGCACCGAGGTTTTAGACACGTGTGACATGAGCCGACTTTAACCTGAAGCTTGTTTTTGTTACATTGACAATAATAACAGTAAATAAATAAACAGGTAAAACATTTTCTGCCGGAGAAATATCGACTCACTGAAAAACAATCCTGTGTTTGACTTTGTAATCGGACCGTCACCTACATCGACCCTGGACGTATCAATGTCTCCACCTACTTTTCGATGATAGATCTTTATTAATGCATTAATACAGTTCCCTTTGGGAAAATTACATTTGGTTAAAATGGGTGATTTTTTTATGTGTTTATTTTTTTTAATAAAAAGTCACAGATCGAGGTTCATTTTTCTGAGTTAACATCAGGTCATTTTAGACACAGACAACGAATGTATTTTTATACATTTATTTAGGCAAATACTGTACCACATTTTCCCATTTAAACCTTCATTTCACACATATAACGTTGACACTAGAGGGCGCTGTGACCACCTTACTGTGATGTTTACACTGTAGAAGTGTCTTAAAAAGAAGAAGATATTTAGAGCAAACACTTTGTGAATGTTTGACTCTAAACTCGACAACTAAAATAAGAATTTGTGGATTTTCCTTGAAGACGCTGACTTGTCTGGTTTTAATACGTTTTTTTTTTAGGTCAAAGCTTTAATCACTGAACAGGAAACAGGGTCTCAATGTTAGCTTAGCATAAACTGGTAACGCTTAAATAGATTGTTAACAATATTTAAAAATACTTTTATATAAAATAAAAAAGAATCATAAAACAATGATATGTAAAAGAGCAAAGAGATAAATATAAATACAAATAAACAGTTTCCTTCTGTAAAATCAAAGTGATTTTATCTGACCGTGACAGGTTCTGACGTGAGCGTACGCTTATCACCTCTGTGCTCCTTAGTTTCTGCCCATGATATTTTACCGTGCATGAATCAGGCTAACCCTTGTTCTGACAGTTGATTGGTTAAAACTTTGACGAAGGAACGGGAGTCAACACATTTGTTTAGGGTTGAAAGATTTTCTCAGTATAAATGTTTCGTTCGTTGCGATCATTTTATTCTGTGATGTGGTGGTTTTATTTCTTGCACCTTTCAGAATAACAAAAAAGATAGGATTTGTCTGTGCTTTTATTCTGAAGCTAACTAACAAATGATCTGTTAAAACATTATTGTCCGTCTTCTCGAACACTGCCCTTCCTTTGGTCTGAGGATTTGACTTTGACTTTGTCAGACGTTAATGTTTTTACCATTTTACTGCAGACCGACTCGTTTCATCAACAAAGTCTGAATCACATTCACTTGTGTCGTAAGATCATAAGATGGCATCTCTCCACTCACTTAAACTAATTTCTAGCCAGTACATTATTTTGATTTGTATTATTCTCTGGCGCCCCCTGGTGAACTCTCCCAATATCGTTTCGTGTTTATTGGTGTACAAACTACTTTAATATGTATCAAGGTATTTATTTTGTGACATTTTTAAACAGTCTGTGTAAAGGGTTGGATGTTTAAAGCACCCAGGACCTTTTTTTATTTGCGTCCTGTTTCTTTTTTTTTTAAACACCAGAGAGTAAATACGTTGGTTCAAAAGCAGCATCTGGACTCAGTAATTCTAAATCTTTGTGTCTTCCATCATCACAACAAAATGTCAGCAGAACCACAGGAAAGCCAACATGCAACTAAAGTATCGGAGCACCCTCTGCTGGACCAACTAAGCACTGCTCCCCTTTCTGGGTGTCACTGCTTCAATTGTCTGTATGTTAGATTAAATGTTTCACAACTCTTACTTATACTTTGTAAGTAAAATAAATCTTGGACTTTTGAAAATAAAAGTCAACGTTTAAAAAAAAAGTCAATTGAACTTTTTTTTTAAATGTTTGTTGTCATTAATATTTCAGGTTCCTCAAAGCATATTTCCCCACGACCGGAGACAGCAGTTAAACCACATCTCACACTGCCCCCTGTTGGATGGCGAGGCAATTATAGGAGTTTTTTGCATTTCTTAAGGCAAAAATTTGACAACCCAACACCTACACCCTCACCTTCACCTTCATTTGCCAGCTCTGACACACGTTTGAATTTTATTTTGTCCATCGGTCGAAGCTCATTGGTTGAGAAGTTTTCTGTAAACAGATTTGTTGTTTTGCGTCTGCCCCTGTTACTGACAGAATGTTATTGGTCTGTTTATGTTGCTGTCAGCAGAACGCTGCTGTGCATGCTCTCAGTCACACTGTTTGGACTGTTGTACTTTAGCATGCTTGTTTTTAGCGCCCTGAGTGTTGTTTTTAGCATGCTAACAAGGTCACTGGCATGTGCACGACTTCCTGTTGGATGCCCGGCTTTCACACCAGTACGACAGTGACAATTTCAACAGGGGCAGATTAGCATGTTAGGCTAACAGAGCCATACTGAGCATCGATTCACAGTCAGACAAAAAGGTTTTTAAAAAAACCTTTGATTGGTCTGCCTGCAGTCATCAGTGATGTAAAAACTCATAAAAAACATTTTGTAACAAACCAAGGTAAATTCATACAAAAACGCACACAAAAACACTGTCAGGGCTGTTTTATGGCACATGACACGCAGAGGGCGCTGTCCTTCAGCAGTGAAACAAACAAAAGCTAAAGGCTTTTCAGAGAAGGTAATGTGAAGCAGCGGGAATTCTGGGTAATACAGCACGACTGTGTGTGACTGCACTAAAAGCATCAGTTGATGATGAATCTGCCGGACAGGTCACATGACGTGGTCACATGAGGGTCAGATATGTGAACAGGAGCACCTTTGAGACTGACCTCTGATTATAAACATTAAAATCAAGTAGAACCTTTTGATGACCAGCTTCTGTTACCTCTAATCAGACTTTTCGTCCATGTGGTTGCCGGGCAGAAAAACACCGTGGGTGCAGATACAGGCGTAGCCGTGGCGATGGTCACAGAGCAGAGTGCAGGCTTTTATACAGAGGCACCTGAAGGGGGAGCAAGAGGGGTCATTAGAACAATCTTCATTACATGACTGAGAATCACATTTTGTCCGACTGTCAGTGAACATCTCATGAAACAGCTGACTTTCGTTGTCTGAGCCAAAGCTACCTGTGGGATGAGGACCACAGGAGGCGCTGTAGGACGTCCACATGTTAATAGCCATCAGGAATGTGGCAATGAAACCAAACGCCTGAAGAAAACAAACATTTGTGATACTTCACAGACAATGCTCGATTTATGGCTAACCTTTTTTTGTCTTTACACATTTTGGTGCATATTTACATATTAACCATAACCCATTTGGTGTGTTTACCTACCGATCCAGCTGCCAGTGCTGAGACGTTGCCGCCCTTCACTGCAGCAATGATGGAGGCGATGAGGATGAGGACGGTTCCAAAAGAGTAATGAAAGAACTCCTGAGGCAAAGAGAAAAGGTCACATGACCGTAATGTAAAATCAACCTGTTGATTCTCCATCTTTAAATAAAGTCTTCTGGGCTGCTTGTCAGCTTTGGTCCAATCAGAACAGGACTAATGTATGCTGTTGCTCACCGTCAGGGGCCAGTTGATGCAGGGCATCTTGGTCTGCAGCCTGAACAGGTGCATGAGGAAGAAAACCAGGAAAACAACAAAGAACCACAGGGTCACGACCTCAAAGTACTGGAAGGCATACCAGTTGGGCCAGCCACGGGCACAGTGCACGCAAAGGAAGGCGATCAGCAGAGCAAGCTGGGAAAAACACAGAAAAGTACAGGTAAAGTCCCAAGATAAGAATGAAAACATTTGGCTAGTGTTGCTAACTGTTAGCAGTTATTATTATTGGGATTCTTGGACCCATTCCATTGTTAATTGTCGGTTATGTTTGTGTTTCGGCCTCCCCTTTTATTTTTTCATTTCTACGCTATTTTTCTGTATAATTGTGTAGGGTTCTTTTCAGCTATTTTTCTGTATAATTGTGTAGGGTTTTTTTAAATTATTTCTTAGCTCACTTTAATATTTATAATTGTTTTTGCTGTCGTCAATAGATCGATGCATAAAGAGTATTCAGTTTAGCAGTGATGCTAACGGCTCCTGGACACACGGTGTGAACACACGCGCTTATTTATCAATGTTCAGTCCGATTTAAACGTCGGTCGTAAACGCGGCTCCACCAGGATTCTCACCAGTTGTCCCATCTTCAGCAGACCCGGGATGGTCCGGGTGTAGCCCATGTTGAGGACACCGTCACCGGAAGTCCTCGTGTTGGTCGAACTGTTGGTGATGACGGTGTGCGACATGTGTACGGTTCAAAACCGTGGCTTTAAAAAAACCCTGAAAACTCCAGGATAAACTCTGACGTTTCGAAAGAAGGTAAAGTGAAAAAGAAGAAAATCGGCAACAGCAACATTAATGCCACGCCCAGCCAATACGCACCGGAAACACACGTAGGAACACACTTCCTTTGAGAAGTTTCACAATAAAATTGCAATGGCACAAGGAAATAAAAGACATGAGAATGGAATTACCCAAACAAATGGTGACATTGTAAAAAAGTAAATACTTTAATAAAATAAAATAAAAAAATCTCGTTTTGTTGAAAACATTGATACTCGCTGAACATGCTTTATTCACTTTATTCACTTCAGACAACTAGTGGACAGACAACCTAATGCTGTTTTATGTCGCCTGAAGATTATCTGCCAGTACACAAAGGTATTATGAAGTAAATTAAAAACACACCGTTTGTGCAAAACAGACCGACTCATAAACACCAGCTTTCTGACGCGAGTCTTCAGGCCTCGGGCGAACATTAGCGACAGGGGGCGCTCACAGGGTTGGTCATCAAACCTGTGTGTGACTGAACATTTCCTCAGCTGTGATAAATAGATAAGTATATTAAGTAACTAAGGGAGACACTGTCTGAAGGAGCTTAAAATAAAATACACAGTCACACACACACAGTCACACACACCATGGCTGCTGATCTGATCGTCCTGTTGTCTCTTGTCACAGGTGAGACATCTGATTTTCTTCATGTTACTGTTTTGTTTTTTGCACACGAACTTTGTGGATCAATATCACTGGATCAGTCAAATTTTTAAAGGTAAAGTGGACCATTTTAATCCAGTCCATGTGTAGCCGTTCTCTGTGTTAACTCTGATGAATTGAAAGTCAGAAATCAGAATTTTAATATCATGTTAATGATTGTAAATCAAAGTTTCCAAAAAAGCTTTTGGTCTCACGTGAATTAAGTCTTATATTAATATTTCTAAATGTTCTTCGTCATTTTCTTTAAACCCACTTTTATTCCAGTGGATGTTTTTGTTTTTACATTAGAGGAACCAACAGAATTTACAGTGAGTCACACCGCCTTAAAATAGATCAACATTAGAACAAAAACACATTAATGTACAACAGATAAAGAGCTTCAAAGCCAATAACAGCTTAACAGAGAAAACAGCAACAAAAAAAAAGTATTCAAGTAAAGCACTTAAATATTTCATTTTCTGACCCGAGTTAAAAGTTCCAGATTTTATGAAATGTGTTTGATGCCGTCACATCTGAGGTCACCTGACTAAGCTGACTCCACCCCCTTCTCTCAGTCCTGGGCAGCTGTGCGGACGACGGCTGGTCGATGAACGTCCAGTCTGAGGTCCGTGCCATTGATGGTTACCCTGTGGTGCTGCCCTGCACCTTCAGCCACCCACAGCATTCCCAGCATTCCTCGCTGCAGGTGCTGTGGCGTCTGGGCCATGGCCAGGGAGCCACCGTTCTGTTCCACTGCACCAGTCGGACGGGGGCCTCGGCTTGTGAGCCAGGGCCCCATCAGGACCAGCGGTACCGACTGGAGGGGAACCCACGGGAGCACGATGTTTCACTACGCATCAACAGTGCCACCCTGCAGGACAACGGGCGTTACTACTGCCGGGTGGAGGTGCAGGGCCGGGAACATGTCAGCTTTGAGGACAAGATGGGGACCCGGCTGAGGGTGGAGGGTCAGGGTTTTTTTGTTTGTGTTTTGAATATTAATAAAAATATTAATATTTTTATTTTTGCATTTGGAAATTCTAGACCAAAGGTGGTAGTTATCTAGTTATCTAGTTATCTAGTTATCTAGTTATCTAGTTATCTAGTTATCTAGTTATCTAGTTATCTAGTTATCTAGTTATCTAGTTATCTAGTTATCTAGTTATCTAGTTATCTAGTTATCTAGTTATCTAGTTATCTAGTTATCTAGTTATCTAGTTATCTAGTTATCTAGTTATCTAGTTATCTAGTTATCTAGTTATCTAGTTATCTAGTTATCTAGTTATCTAGTTATCTAGTTATCTAGTTATCTAGTTATCTAGTTATCTAGTTTTTCTAGTTTTTCTAGTTATTCTAGTTTTCTAAACTAGAAGTCTATTTATTCCATCTATATAAATATTTTGTCTTTCCTCTTTTGATCTCTTCCTGTTTTGTCAGAATGATCATCTTTCCTGTTCCTCTCTGTTCCACAGCACCGCCAAAGATTCTGGCCCTGTCAGTAGGGGGAAGCGATGAGTCCGGTTACACAGCTCTTTGCCGGGTCCAGGGTTCCCCACTTCCCGATGTCCAGTGGTTGGGTCCGGACGAGCTCTTGGAGGGTTCTGCTGTGGTTCCGCTGACTCAGGGAACTGTGGTCCACTACCACACCGTCAGTCAGCTGAGAGGTGTTGCGGTGGGGCAGCACTACACCTGCAGTGCCTCCAACCCTCTGGGCAAAGACCAGGCCACGCTGTACATCCTTAGACCCCACTCACCCCCGACAGTGGGTCGGACTGCACCCCCCGTCCTGTTGGTGCTGCTGACGGTGTCCATGATCGCAAAGCTCGTCCTGCTAGTGGGTGTAGGGGCGTGGTTGGTGAGGGGCGGAGCTTTTTGGTGGGTCAGCTGCTTGTGGAAATGAGCTAAAATCCTTAGTTTTACTTTGGTTCTGAACATTCTTTGGGGCAGAACACTGACTGAATTGTAAAGACGTTTCAATAAAAGGCAAACATTAAGTCTTAACAAGAATTTCCAATTTATTAAGAGAAAATAATGAAGCAAGAAAAAAAAACAACCCAACACTCGAACACACCATAAATATAACAACAGTAGGTGCTAAGAAAAAACACGAGTATGTCACTACTGATTGGAGCCTTTCTCTAATCAGACTCAGCTTCTCCAAACAAACACCTAAAACCAGTCATCTTTATATAAACATCATCATAATTTACATGTCTGTAAAAACCACGGTATGAGTTGCATACAATCCCCTGATTATTAAAATGAATTAATAAAATGAGCTGCGATGCTGCCATCTAGTGACCGGAGGTGTGTTTATCGTTCATAATGTCCGGTTCGTGTGTTGTGAAGCGTTTTTGGAGAAGCTGGGTTGAGAGAAGTAAATGATTTTAGAACGAGTTACTGAAATAAAAGTCCTTTTTCAGAGCACCGAGGCATCTGACTGGGCCGAGGCCGCGGCATTAAACTATTTTAGGGCAAACATCATGTGGTGAAACCCAGGCACTGCGTTATAGGGTTTTTATTGTCAGAGGAAAAACCGATAACGATTCTTACAGATATGACATAATTATGCTAATATCCTGCCGATGATATCGGTGGGCCAATATCGTCAGACGTCCCTGGTTTGTGGATGTCTGGACCAGTGTGCTGGACTATCGGACTACACAGGGAAGAACTCTGGTCTCTTGTAGCACACAGGGCGTGCAGATTGACAGCACTCCTCATCTCTCCATCTGAACGAGCTCAGACTCATGATGGTGCACTGGCCCTCGTTCATTTCTCCGGGTTCGCCCTGGGCCCAGTTGGTCTGAGCGACGGGTTCCTGGTTCAGCCAGTACCATTCGCCAGTCTGAGAGCGGCGGCGCGGGCCGGGCCCCAC